ATATATATATATATATATATATATATATATATATAAACATATTACATATACATTCACAATATTTTAGTTCATTTCAACGAAATTTTTACTTCGCTTTACTATTTGATTAAATATGGAGAGTTTTAATGCCCAAAGTATATTTACAATAAGCTGAAAAAATATTGCATAAGAAAATCGATTCAATTATAGCGAAAATAACTAACGCCAAATTTAATAAATAAGTACACATGAAATAAATTTATTTTATGGTACATTTTTAGAGTAAATGTAGAATAGAGTTTATAGATTAGAATATAAATTAATAATAAATGTTGTTTACCTCTTAATAATTTTTTCTTTTAACAATAGATGATTTTATTTAACAAACAAAAATAATTTATAAGTATATTAAATTAATAAGTATAAAATATCTTGTATGAAAAAGACATAATTAAAATAATTACCATACTTGACTACGTAAAGTATCTACTACTACGTAGTTAAGATGTACTAACTGTGGCCGATAATGAACATTTTATTCTTAAAAAATAAAAGTTTAAAGAGATATAATATAAATAATCCATAATAAATTTAAAGTAACATAATATGCATAAAAGTATTTGTATATATTTTGTAGGTATATTTTAATCTAATCTAACTCATTCCTTTGCTTGAATAAATAATATATATTGTCTACGTCTTTGCAATTATTCTCTTATCAAAAGATAATTTTGATTATGAAACAAAAATAATTATATAACTTTAATAAGTATAAAATATCCTGTATGGTACAAGTGAAAAATTATATTGTAAATACAGGATACGAAGTTTAATTGGAGTGACAATTTATCATGAAATATTTTCATATTTCACGAGAAGTAAAGAAGCTGTTTTCATTTAATAAGATGTCAACTTTTCATGAAATGGTTAATTTCATCAAATGACTATAACTTAATATTTAGCTTACTAACTATAACAAATACGAAATTTTCCCACGCAAACTAAGGAGTTACAAGATAATAATAGTTATATATATATATATATATATATATGTGTAAGTATATTATTATTCAAATTATTCAAATTATATACTGAGTATTTGTCTCATTTGATGACATTTCTACTAAAACACAATAAAAATTTTTAATATGTATACCTATCTAAATCTAAAAATGTTCTTTAAAATCAAAGAGAAAATTTTACTTGCAGAGAAAAGATTGGTTGTAGATGGTAAGTCGTATTAATAAACACTAATTAACTTAAGCTAACACAAAATATAAATACTTGCAATGCGAATTCTTAGCAAAGTTTTAATTTAATATTCAAACAATGATAAATTTGGTAATCAAAATAATTAATAATTTTAAGTAAAGATTAATCAAATACACAGCATTTACAATTTATGATCAAGTTTAAAATATTATTTAAATGTATTTAATAAATAAAAATATGTAGGTAATACCTACTTAATAAATATTGAGTGAATAGTCTTAATAATTAATGCATGTTATAAGTATTGGATTACTATAATTTTTGATTATTATATAATAAAAAGTTTACAGTAAAGTTTTGATTTTTCTCAAAATATAAAATATAAAATTTAATTGTATTGGGCATTTAGTATTTCGAGAAAATATTTTTCATTGATTGGTAATATTATTAGGTAGATAAAATAAACAATGGTATTAATGAAGGATATATAATAGCTTTGAAGTGATTTCAAATATGAATAAATCAAAATGAAAATTTATAACACAATTATAGGTACATTAAAACTTAAGTTGCTTACCCATCTAGTGTATTACCTATCTCATATTTATTGGTGTGTAGAGTGTGTAGTCTGTAGAGTATTATCTATAATATTATGACTATCAGTATCACTACACAATCAAAATTTAGTTTATGACAAATTTATATCTACTATTATATTATGCTATTAAGAGTATTAAAATATAATAAAATTTAATTTTGTTCGAATTGTTCTAAATTATTTTATTTTATCAATAAAAACAAAAAATTATAACAATATAATAACAGTAAAAATCCTGAAAAATTTTGACATTTTAAATTAACAAAAATAAAACAACATTTTTTTGAAAAGTACGAAATGAAAACCAATCAAGTACTTAATAAAAATATATTATACATTTATAAATTTAGAGAAGATATATGATTCGGAAAATAATATAACAAAATTAGTTTCATATTTAATTACGAATATATATATAATATATTTCTGTATTATGTAAATTATTATTAATTTATTATAAAAAAATGCAATTCAATTAATGTATTTTACTCATTTCAGTTGAAATGTAAGCTTCTACATGGCTATGGTTATTATAGTTTATACATTTTAAAATAATACCAATTATAATCCGAATCCATTTATTTATTTATTTTTGGATTTTTCTCAATTAAGTCAATAAAAATAAATTAAATCAGTTCATATTAAAATATTTCAAGCATATTTATTTTTTGGCATATAAATAAATTTATATATACCATATATATTTAATATTATAATTAAAAAAATAATACACACGGTTGTGAGTGAAATAAACTCTTAAAACCTATCAAAATTTAAAGTATTTTTATGTTCTTATCATATTATATAGCCTACATGTATATATATTCCTACATTCAAGCTTTAAAAATATTCCAAAAACATTTAGTGTTAAAATAAAAATATAAATAAATAAGTGTAACTAAAAATTAATAAATAATGAGAAAGTATAACATAATTCAATAAATTACAACATGGTACATCATCATTCTTAATATTTGATATAAAAGTTGAGGAAATGTTTAATGATATTTTTGAATTTTAAAATCAAAAAACAATCATATTTTTTTATAAGTCAAATATATATTTATTTTCCAGTAAAAATCAATATTTTATCTCTGGTAAGAACATCGTATATATATAAGATATACGACTTTATCAATGTAAATAAACTTAGTACAATATGATTACTAATTTATGTAAATTTTTCATTTCAAAATCTAAATATAAATTAGGATTTAATCGAACGAATATTAAGAAAAAAAATATTATTACTACTTTATTTGCATATATTAGTTATTCGTAATACGTTTTAATATAAATATTTTTTATTTTATTTGAAATATATATGAATAATAATGTTTATAAAAAATTATTAATTTATGAATAATAATAATTATAAAGAAATAATTTATCTTAAACATAAATTAATGGACAAAAAATGCTGTGTCATAATTATATTATTTAAATTAAAAATTAGAATGGAAATACCCAAAATTACTGTATTAAAAAGGAGTACTATACATTTTAAATCGTTTACATTCAAATTATATAAATTTCAAAAATGATAATGGATTGGAAAATACATTTTGAAACAATAAAAAACTTTGACAACATCTAACAATATTATACTGTAATATAAATCAATATATTAATAAATTGTTGATTGTTTTGTAGACTAAAATTTCTCAAAAATAGCATATGAATCTAATATTTAAATATGTATAAATAATAATCCGATTATAAAAAAACTGAACAATAGAACACTTTCTGAATTTATATTAATATAATTAAAAGCCAGTTGAGTTAATAGAACATTTTTAGAAGGCGAAAATAAATTCTCAACAAGTTACAAAATCAAATATTAAGAATCGATACATTATAAATTATTTTCATACAAAAGTTCAGGACGAATTAAAACAAAACGCATTCCCTTACATATGCCATCAAGTCTAGTTTTAAAAAAATACAAACATTACTATTTTTAATTATAAAATTAAGTATTAGTGTTAAGATTCATACAAACATTGGTTACACGTATGTAGGTTTCAAAATACAACAAAGACAAATTTAGAACGAAAAACCTTGAAGTGCAACTCCTATGAAATAGTAACTCACTTATCAACACTATTTTTAGAAAAAAAATGATTTAACTACTTACATGGATTAGGAGTAACCGTGTGTAGTTTATAAGCAGTAAATCCATACATATCGAATGTTAATGAACACTGTTGATGTATTACGGAAGAAATTTTTTTTCGATTCCAACGGTAATAGCATTTGATACCATTTTTGTAGTTTTATAATTTTTTTTCGATACACAGAATAAAATAAAAACGTTTCGAAACTGTCAATAAAAAATAAATTGCACAAATTGTTAAATTTGTGTTTTCCTCGATATTTAAAAACCGATGTCACGCGTTATGTACCAGTAGTGTCGGCGAGCGTCACAGCTGCTCTAACGTCTGAGTATCTGGGGAGGCCGACAAAAGCCGAATGTGTTTGCGAAGAAAAGTATACTTTCACGAAGCGTTTGTTCCAAACTTGGCGGGCGTCCCGCGTTTGCGTGGTGATTAACACTATCCAGTCGATCGGTCCGGGGGTGGGTTGAGGATTCCCGGCAGTGGTGGTGACGACATGGGTACTGGGATGGACAGAAGAGGGAGGCGTACACAGTTCACTGTATACATAACACACACGCACACATACGCACACGCACAAACACACATATACACACCCGCGCGCGCGCGTACACGTACACATTTACGAACAACAGTGACGGGTAGGAAACAATTTCAAACAATGTTCACTGTGTTTAATATAAAAATGCAATGTTGTATGATTAAAAATGTCGTTGTATACAAGCGAGAGCCGTTTTGTTTACGCGCCTTAAATGAAGACGGGACGCGAAAAACCCTTTAATGAAAATCGTTACACTCTGCCCACTTTTGTATTTCAATATCCTGAGTATTTTTGACGATACAGGATAACACACGCGAGATAATATTGAATTTGACTTCTTAAGCAATAAGTAACATTTAACCCTCCGTATTGTATTCAACAAGGACGTTTATCCTAAATTTCCACTATGCAATAGCTACAAACTATGCACAAATTTAAATATTCATTGTATAAACAAACGCATTTGTTCGTATCTATGGTCGTTATAATCGGATATCTCTATTTAAATAGCACTGTACTTAATTGCAATTATATTTATTTTTAATTTGAATGATTTAATTTATTTATAAATATTTTTAACAATTTTTGTTGTTCGCAAATATCAGATAACAATTATAAAATAGTAATACCCGCATAAATTGAATAAATATTTACAAGGCATTTTAATCGATAAACAAAATTCTCAAAATTATACACATTGGCAAATTATATGTATGGATATATGTGTAAAAGGTATGTGTAATATATTTTAGACCTATACGTAAAACGTAATACAATGTACTCTCATGCTCCCTTTATTTAAGAATTTATACTAAACATCCATCCATCAGTATTAATGATATAAAATACAATAAAAAAATAAATTACACGTCAGTATGTAAAAAAAAGTCATATATCATTATCTAGGTTACTATTTACTATTACAGTATTATCATAAACCATATTCTATGCCCTAGTTTTCAAAACTATTCTTCAATACTCTTCAAGTAAATCTAAAAGCTACACAAACATTAATAGGAGTTTATTTAACTTTAAATTGGACATTTTTTAAGTTTTGACAAAAATTTAAAAATATAACAGCCAAAAATGTGTTTAAGTGAGATATGTTAAATATTTACAATAAACGCTATATTGGATATAAAGGAATAATGGAATAAAGTCAATTTACCTACATTAAGGATACCCACAGTTAAATTTAATCATAAAAAAAAAAAACAATTTTTTTTTTTAAATTTAACTTTCATATCTTCTACGCAGTAAACTACAGACTGTAGTGATTATTTAATTTTCACAGCTTTTAACATTATTTGTCACGTTAGCATGATTATGGATTATGAGGGATGAAATTATTTGAGTTAAAACCAATTCAAGAAGCTATTACCAATAATATTCATTACTACGATTTTTTTTATAAAAAAAAGCTATGGAGCTATGTAAGTAATTCGTGTTGAATGTAAACATTTGAATGGATCTGTTTTAAACGTGAATTTCCAATTTAAATATACTAATAATATAAAATATTTTTTAATGGAACGAGCTCAGAAAACTTACTCGACTAAGATTACTTGATTGGCCACGTAATTTAGTCATTCAAAAAAATATTAAATAGATAGAAATTATAGGTAATATCTGGGTTGGCGTTTGGAGAACAATGAAAAGGCTTACTTATTTTAAGCATTGTTCCAGTTAATCAAGGCGAAAATAATTGCTTTACGTATCTAAGTGTAAGAGATTAGAAGTAAAATTGTTTTCGAATCGAATGTTCAATATAAAAAAAGTTCCTTAAAAATTAAACTTTTTATAATTACCGTTTGAACCATGCGAGTTCGGAGTACATAAAAATATATATGTAACTTGGAAACCATAGTGCCAAATATTCCATGAAAAAAAAAAAAACATTTCAATTTTCTAGACATATTCATATTATATTAATCCACGTAGGTATTGACGTATTTTATATCATATTGATTTATTGCAGGCTACAGGGGTTCATTATCGACAAATCAATATGACATTGACATAAAAATGTATTAAGTATAAGTATAATATTTTAACAATAATTATACTATTAATCGAATATTGAACTAATTGGTAACCAACCCCATAATTTTTAACGTTTAATATTCATACGTGATATTCTAAAAAATAAATTATAACCCTTTCATGAATAAACTAGTGTTACCGGACACTAAATATACATAATATATACATACGATGAGAATACATAAGATATTTTCGATTTTTTTCTCGTCATTTCCGTTTGTGAAATATGTTAAAATACGTGGTATGCATAGGAACAGGGATTAACAAACAAACTACGAACGTAGGCCCCGTTACAGAAATGTACTTTGCATCACAATCCAACAATAATTGGTACCACATAGTATTGCTATCCATAATAACGTAATATGAAAATTTTTCACAGAGTATCTCGCAAACACAAGCCAACGTACAATATAAAACTTAGACCTAGAAATGTAAACAAATACACAAGAGTGCAGTCATAACAATAACGCGATTATAACTGTACATATGTATAATAGTATATACCTACAAATGTATAGGTGTAAAAAATGTTAATACGCAAATACATAACGGAATGTCTACTTCTGTCTTATAGTTCTTTTTTCCTATACAACTAATTCTAACATTGCCATACCGTTAATAATTGATGTAATGTAAACCGATTGTGTGTGGTTTTTTTCTACTTCCATTACGATTTTCCATTTCCCCCCCCCCCCCCGGTATCATGACTTCCCAACTCTACAACCACGACCGGAGGTCCGGTCGCATTCGCCGTCACGGTCAACCTGTACCTGTACTGGGTAATCCGTAGGTATGTGAACGAAAAAAAAAAGGTTAGGACCTTTTACAGATACAATTTACCAATAGAATTATTGTTATAGGTTAGACCGGGAACCGGGGTTCACGCGCGAAACGTTCGTTCTGCAAATAACGTAATCGGAACGAGATCGGAAATGACTACGCGCCGCTTTCGACGCCTGCGTTATTTCTGGCCCGTTGCCGTGACGTGGCGTCTGTCGCCGCCGGAGAACACAAACGATCCACTGTCTGTCGCTATACTGTCTGACGTCGGGCGACTCTCGCTTGGCGAGCAACGTCGTCACCGCTTCTATTCATAAACCATGCGAGCGCCGGGTTCACCGTTCACATCAGCATCTGGTGTACCGTACACACACACACACACATACACACACGCACTCACGTTCTCTCGCTTTCTCTAGTAATTCGTACACATGCACGCAAGCGCAAAATTTCGTATTATACGCCAATACACAAATACAAAAGTACACAAAGACGCAGCCAGCGGCAGACTTGACGATATGCGGTAAATACCGTGCGCGTGAAAATGTTATAGCGATCATAGTGGACGACAACAGTCGTACCGAGTTCGTAGTGTTGCAATTTTCAGTTAGTCGCGAAAAAGAAAACGGACCCAAGAGGAAGGCGTTTTCAACGCTCAAACACTATAAATATAATTAAATCATTGTTCGAAATAATATTGTTATCGGATATCCGACACCGGTGATACACCGGAGCGCCGGGCGGAAGAAAATAGCAATAACAATAATAATCAATAATAATAGTAATAATAATAATAATAATAATAATAATAATAATAATAATAATAATA